CTCACTTTGTCTCCATATTTGCTCCCTTGAGTATTTTGTTGCTCCTTTCAGGGAATATTTCTTAAAGTATGTGTGGCAAATTGTTTTCTTTTCACAGTAAGTCAGAAAATGATTTTTACATTGCACATCTGAAACATTATAATTAACTCATCAAAGATAGTTTAAATTCCTAAATTTAAAATCCTTTAGAAGACTCTGATTAAACTATCCATTTGTTTGGTCAATTTTAATTCAGTGGTAGTCAAGAAAATTCAGATAGAGCTCACAATCATAAAACATAATAGTAATTACTTAAGGTTTCTCATTATTGTTGTTTTAACAGGGAATTCTTATATACTTTTTAAAGATGTATTTATTTTATGTTTTATTTTATCTTTATTTTTTATTTTATTTATTTTATGTTTTGCTGACATGTATGTCTGTGCACCATGTGTGTGCCTCATCTCTGTGGAGGATCCTTTAGAGCTGGAGTTATGGACAGTTGCGAGCCACCATGTGAGCACTGGGAATTGAGCCCAGGTCCTCTATAGGAACAAGTATTCTTAATCACTGAGCCATCTCTGTAGACCAGTTGTGTAATTATTGTTTTTTAGGGTGAGAGAGGGAGCACACATGTGTTTCACTGAGTTGTTCAATAACTATCCTGTATGTGGAACTGATAAGTGACATCTGGGAACATTCTCCTCCAGCAGACTCCCTCCAGCAGGTGAAGATATCCAAACAATGGGGCCAATCAAAAGATGCTCTTGAATAATACACATCTTGATTCTCAACATCTGCTTATGCAACAGGTTTCAGTCTTGGAATCCCTGTTGGTCTCAGGGCTTTGATGTGTACTGCATATGTCAACCTCATCTAGAAGAAATAGTTTTCTGCTTTTATGAGTTTTGCAGCCAGTTTTGTCTTTTCTCCTTCTTGGTAACATCCCAAGTTGTTAAGAACCTTCTGTTTCCTCAAATCTTCCAGCTCTTCTTTCTTTTACTTGTCTTCAATGTAAGCTTTTAAACATATTTCAAAACTTTAAAAGTTCTTCATATTCCCACAACCTGATGTTCTGTTCCCTAAGCTTACAAAGAAAGGCAGATCTTAGCTGGTTGCCCTTCAGGATTTTCAAGCATCTTAGCTCTCTCTCTCTCTCATTCTTAAATTCTCCTTTTCATGTTGGCCTTTTAATTCTTTTCTGAACACAAATCTTTTCTTCATAAGAAGGAACCATTGTTTCTTCATTTTATAGTGGATCCATCTACAGTGGAAATGAGATTCACTTGATGGCTGTGAAGATCATTGACTCATTTAGAACTTTTGTTCCAAATTTCTATTGTCTCAAGCAGACATCACAGAATGCTTCCTCTAGCCCCATCCTTACTTCTTATAGCACAGCCTAATCTTAACTTGGGTACTGATTGCTATGCACAAGGCCTCCCAGGATTGATTCATTGCTTGTTGATTCAGGAATATGAATGGGATTTTGTAAGAAATATTTTGGTGTCTTCCTGAGTTCTCAGCACAGAAATCTTAAAACTCTTATTTCCTGAGTGATGAGGATGAGAAAATCCCTTTATTACACACATACACACACACACACACACACACACACACACACACACACACACATATCCATAAACCCTTCCAGTCAACCATACCTGAGCCTATGGAATTGAGGTAAATTACGAAGGAAGGAAGCCAACTGCCAGGAAAGTAAGCCCTGATTAGTGAGTTGGAATTTCTAGTCTCATCCCTTATTTCCAAGGACTTGAAAGAAACTGACATTGAGTTAAATCACCAAAGGTTGGAAGTCTAATCATCACGCCAATCTATTGAAGCCTCCATAAAACTCCGACCAGTAGGTCTAGAGAACTCCTAGGTTAGTAGGCACAAGAAGATGCTGGGACCCAGAAGATGGAAAAGTAATAAAAACAAACAAACAAAAAAAAAGCATTCCTAATATCCAGCATTAGGAACTACACAATGAATGAACACTTCTTCTGCCTACCAGTAGGAGAGGAAACTGGTGCACTCTTTACTGTATGAGATAATTTTATACACACACTGGACATGCAGACACACATGTGAACACCTATAAACAACTGGAAAGGGTTAAATATAGCACATGCTTTAAAAGTGTAGTTTAAAAAGTCTGAGGAACCCTAAGGATCCCCAAACTCTGTGGCACCTCAGTAAACTTCTCTCACATGAAAATCTGATTGATTTTTGTCAACTTCAAGCCTAGCAATACATCATAATAGACTACATAGACACAGAGCCATGGAATCCTGGTGCCTAGCAATACATCACAACACACTGCATAGAGACAGAGACATAAATTAGGTAGTAGTAGTAGGTCAGATACCAAATATTTGCTTTAAAAAAAAAAGAAAGAAAAGAAGAAAAAAGAAACAATGATACTACTCTCTTTTGTGTCATTAAATATTTGGAGACATTTTATTACATAACACATAATGATTTATAAATAAACATTTAAAATCTATTATATTTAATCTACTACACAATAAATACTAATAAGTGTAAGTTCTTTGCAATTCTCAGTAACTTTTAACTTTAATAGTATAAACTGGTTCCTAAAGCATAAAATTTCTGAAATATGTCAAGTAATAGTATATCTATACTTCAAAATGTAATGAAGTTACTAAAAGAGAATGATGTGTTACCATAATTCAAAAGACAGCACTTTGAATATTGCATATATTGTCCATATGTAAACATCATTTAACAAATTATGTATACATAAATACAAAGGCAAAACAGTTCACAAACTCAACTTTTTACTTTTTAAAAGAATGCCATATACTATTTTATAAGCATGTTTTTTAACATGCTGTTTCCTCTGCTTAACATGCTTTTCCTATGATTCCTACTTGGCAAACTAGTATCACAATTCAAGGTTCAGATTCCTCCCTGGGGATTCTCCAGGATATCACTCAGTCATTATAGAAAATAATCTTCTGTGCACTATGACATGCCATGAACTATCATGTCAAGGAACTCACGTGCCCAGCCACAGTCTGCTCACTGTTTTGTCACATTCATCATCTCTATCCCTCAATGTGGTTCTCCTCCCAGATACATTCTGAAAGCTGTGAAAGCACTTGTCTCCTGTCCAATTAATCTGGACACATCTGGAATGCTGATTTTCTCTTTTCAAAATAAATGAGTTTTCCTCTTATTTTTGAGTAGAGCAAAACAATAACAAAGAACAAACATTTAAATGTTAGTATTTGTATGCAAAACACTTGCACACTTACCTCATGGGCCCATAGTTCAGCATTATAAATGCTAATACCATCATTACACAGACAGCTCTTCGCTTTGGACTTGGGACTTTGAGCCTCTGGTTCTACAGGAAATGAAATTGGATGAAACTAGATGTCAAGACTACAAACAGCAGTAACTAAGAATCATCCTTTCTACAAGTTGTGTGAATAGATTTTCTCATAAAAAATAAAACTAAAAACACCTTGACAGTAAAGAAATGGTACTTTTTAAAAGACTAAAGCCTCCCATACCCTCTTTTCCAACGGAGGAAGGAATTATGTCTCCTCAGGTACTGAGCAAAATACCTAAATTGACTCATTGTCTGGGCTGGTGGCATGGGTTAGTCTAGAGCCAAGAGCCACTAGCAGCACAGTGGACAGAACATCCTGGCTGCCTGCCCTTCCTAGGTCCCTTCTCTGGAGGTGAGGGAGAATCTATTGGCATAAATCAGAAACAAGTTTGTGCCAGCTCCATGTGAGCCCCAAGGAAAGATGGGGATGTTACAGTCACAGTCTTTATTGTCCCATGCCTAACATGCTGGAGGGAACATATTCCAAAGGGTCATTGCTAACATTGTTTTCCTACTGTAAATGATTTTGAGCTTCTTGTGTCCCCATTTCTTAGCACTACTATTTTATATGATTTAAAAAGTAATTAGCAATTTACTGATCAAAAAGAAACTCAGTTTCCACCACCTCAGGCAGCTGCTCATTAGCACTCACCTCTGATACCACCTCATCCAGCTGTCGCTTCAGGGACCCATTCTCCTTCTTCAGCTGCTCATTCTCTGAGAGGGCAGCCTTCAACCTGGCCTCCAGTCCTAGCATATACTCTTTCTTCTTCTTTCGTGACTGACAAGCAGACTCTCGGTTCTTTATCATACGCTGCTGTCTCCTCAGCACAGCAATCTAGGAAAAGTTACACAACACACCGAATCATGGTACTGGTTTTGTAACCATACCAAATATCAACACCTACTGATTTTTCAAATTATTTCTCAGTAACTTTGGTCAAAATATAGGTTGGTGGCCATTTTTAAACAAGTCTTAAATATACTACTCAAATTAAGAAAGCTCAAGTCGATTTGAGTAAAAAACTCCTTTCTAAATCCTAATCACTAGTGTTTTCTGAAGTACACTGTTGAGCATCTAACTGGTCCTTTATAAAATCCCTCAGAAAGTATCTCAAAGGAGCTGTGTGAGGTAGCTTATACTGAAAAGCCCAGGACTCCAGGAGGTTATAGCAGGAGGATTGCTCCAAGCTTGAGCTCAGTCCATAGGGCAGTGGACCGTGCCACCAGACAGAACACTGGTAAGGTCCAGAAGATTCAGAAACCCCAGTAATTCTCACAATAGAGAACAGTAGGTGTTTAAATCTACTGCTGCCAGGTTCCTGCATTGGAACACGTGATCACGACACCCCATTGAGAGGACTGGGACAATCGGCCCCATAGGGAAAACACCTGATGTCCTCCCACGTGGAGATGAGGCATCCCTAACATCTCAGACCAAGCCAGTAGAAAACACCCGCCTCGAGATCCCAGCCCACCCACGAATGTTTATAAGGTCCTATCCACGAGAAATAAAATACACGAGTTATTTCACTAAACATGCCTGAGAGTGCCTGTCTTATTGAGCTGTAACACTCCAGGGAAGAGCTTTCTCTCATGGCTGGACCTCAGCCGGGCCCAAGCAGCCGGGTGCAACAGCCTGACTTCAGCAAACTCCTGCTCGGTGACCCTGACCTTGGCCCCTAGCTGCCCACTGGGCCATGCCGCCTGTCACCTACTCCAGGGCAGGGGTGACCGCAGAGGAGGTGTGGCAGCCTGCCTTGCTCTGGCTTCCCCTTGGAAAACTGTAACTCTTTGGCCCCTCTGGCCAGGCCTGAGCCCTGCAGATCCCTGCGGACAGCACCTGGTATGCAGACTGGCACCAGTCTTACCCTATTTTTAAAATGAAAAAGAAAGATGTCTAGATTAGTAAGGTAGCTCAGTGGGTAAAGCATTTGCTGCACAAGCATGTGGACCCAAGTCCTGAGTCTGGTCCCCAGTTCCAGAGGAAGGAGAGAGCCAACTCCATATAGAGCTGTCTTCTGACCCCCACATGCCATAGGATACACACACAGGGAGCAGCACTGGCTTCGGCGTGCAGAAGGTTGAGAACCACTGCAAAACCATTTCAGGATTACTTAATCTAGTACAATGTAAGCCACTGTATGTTGTAACGAAGTTCTACACATTTATTGTATGGGGGGCAATGTTCTTTTTTATTTTCCACCTCAGTATGTTAAATCCATCAAAATCCATGGATATGAAGGGCCAAATTACATATATACTGCTTTAATTACCATCATTGGCCCTAAGTTAATTGACTTCAGTTCCCAAACCCTAGACCCAACTACTCAGAAGATCACTTCTCCATGTAGAATTGTTGTCATCACCTTTTATCAATATCACATCTCTCTCAAAATATGAAAAAGCCAAGTTGGCGATGTGTATCTATAATGCCAGCACCCTGATTTCAAAGCCAGCTCAAAGCCAGTCTGGGCCATATGAGAGACTTTCTCAAATCAAACAAACAAGAACAAAACCAACAAACCTGCAAAGACACAGTTAGAAGTGACCACTATGTTTTTACTCTATTTACTGCCTCTCTCAATCCTTCACTCACCAGAAGTGTACTGAGTATATGCTAATGGCCAAGTTGATTTCAATGCAAATATTCTGTTACTCCTCTCTCTCTTTCTCCGGTCACCCTCCAAAGCAGGCTGTCATGGATGGACCGACACACTACAGCAACAGACTCCCGTCTTCTAACTCCCCCTCTACCACCACCTCTAAACTCTCTCCTCACTTCCTGGCACTCTACAGCCAAAACTGTCAATCACTGCCTCCTTTCTCTCTCAGGGCCTTCTTTGATTGAGCACTCACTACCTAACCATGCCTTCTCCTTAACCCCAGTATTCTCTACTCCATAATCGCTACTGTTCTCATTTTGCCCATATTCTTTACTTCCACCTAATGCCACCTCCTCCACTAACCAGCCTCTAAGTCCTCACCTCTCCAACTAGTCTCACCTATTCCTCTGAATGTCTTGCATTCTTAAAATTTGGAAGATACACCAAAATACTCCAATGGTTTCAACAATGCTAAATATCTTTTTTCACTTAGATTTTAGACCTTGGAACCCAATGTCATATCTGATACTATCTTTGTTTAATAACCAAAAATATCTACCATGTCACAACTTAAATTTTTTTGTTACATTAAAAAAAAAATGCAGGGCCCACTGTTACAGCATTAGTCTAATTTCTTTGGGTATCAAGGTAACAAAGTAGTCTCAAAAACAAAGAATAATATTAACCTCATTAGATTATGTACATAAATGGTTGAGTTACTGATGTCTGTTTCTCAATGGACTTTAAAACACTCTACTGTGGAGTGTACCATAGTTCCTTCAGTAAATGCAGTTTCAGATCAGTTTTGTTTAAGTTAACTGTCTTAGTTAGGGTTTCTAACTGTGTGATCAACACCATGACTAAAATCAAACTGGAGAGAAAGGATCTATTTCATCTTATAGTGTGTGATCCATCATCCAGGGAAGTCAGAGTAAGAACTCATGGTGGGAACTTGAGGGCAGGAACTGATGCAGAGGCCAGGAAGGAATGCTGCTTACTGGTCTGCTCCCCATGGCTTACTCAACCTGCTTGTTTCTATAGCACTCAAGACCACCAGCCCAGGGATGGTATAATCTACAACAGGCTGGGCCCTAATTTAAAAAGTACACCCCTGCCTTGCCCACAGGCCAATTTGGTAGAAAATTTGTCTCAATTGAGGTTCCCTCTTCCAAAATGAACCTAGCTTGTATCAAGTTGACATAAAAACCAGCCAGCACATTTATAATAGGAACATCTCCTAGCAATAGTACTGAACTATAACCAAATGGTACCCAACATGATGGTGTCAATCATCTTCCAGTCCTAAACCACATGGAAAAGCATTACGTGGCTGTTGGAAAGAGCACTTTCTTCTCTTTTCATTTCTAACTGGAACTCCACAAGAAGGTTGATCACAAATACCCAGCACCTGCCAAGAGTTCCCAACTCTATACATGTCTAGAATTGTGTCTGTTATTATTCCCAAGCAATATAACTAACTGCTTACATTACAACTAATACCCAACATACACACACACGGGAGGGAGGGAGGTGGGATGGGAGGAAGCAAGACTATGACAAGTTGATTTCTCATCAATTTCCAGACATTCTCAGGACAACACCACTTTGTTCTGCTAAATGTTAGTTGTAGTCGGCACTGTTCCTGGGAAAGCCGGTGCTCACAATTAATACTAGAGTGTTGAAGTACATGGAACACTGAGTAAACACATAAAAGAGAAGGTTCCCAGATGGAAGAATTTATACTAAAAGTTAGATAAAAGGCAACTTTAAAGGCTAATTAATCTATAGGATTTAGGGAGGCTTACAGATGGTACACCATTTAATAAATCTCAAACAAGGATTAGGTATTTCTATAAATAAAAAAATCACCTGCACATTATACATGGCATTAAGATTTCAAAGGCTGACAACCCACATGCCTCAGACCAATGGGAAAAAATAAAAATGAAAACCACCTGTGGCCAAATAGTCTGTTTTTCTCATAGAAAAAGATCCATTGTAATAGGTCTGAAAATATTCAGCATTACCAATAAAAGTAAGGTAAAAACTGTATAAATAAATGAAATGCTTAGGAGCCAAAAGTACAGAGCTGCCACTATATCTCAGCAAGCTGTCTTTAGCTATCTGAATACATAATATTAAATTACACTTCCTAGACCAAAAAGAGCATATAGATGATTTTTTTAGACTAAGCATATATATACATTGTTCAGTGTTCTTGAGGAGGGTTAAATTCTGTTGGATACATTGACTTTTGCAAATACAATGTATTAGAATAATCCCCAGGCAATAAGAATGGCAGCGTAATATAATCTCTATTTGTTGAAATTACTATAGTTTTCAAGATTAAAGCCAGATATTGTGGCATACATCTGTAATTCCAGCACTTGGGAAGCAGAATCTAGAGAACTATTGTGAATTCAGGGCCAGCCTCATCTACAGAATAGGGTCCAAGCCAGTCAGGGGTATGCAATGAGACTCTCTCAAAAACAAAATAAAACAATAACAGTTAATAAATAAAATAAGCCTCATTTGAATCTACTGAGCGAATAGACAAGCCAAGGCATGGATTGAGGTCAGCTGACTTCAAACCTCTTGGAACCTATTCAGTAGCCCCACTAGGGTTTCACAGACCACATAGAGCTGGCACCACAGCATGGATGGTGTGCTGTTTGGCTACTCTAATTATGTGTCATCTACAAATAGAAACGTACAGACCTGCCTATGTCTAGAAGCTAGCTCATCACTGTTAGCTCCATGTACAAGCACAAAATCAAAAGGCTGGACCACTAGTTCACTGACACACTCCCATCTAGGCACACCAGATGGCTTAACAGACTGAAACCAGCCAACGGCTGTCCCACTCCTGCTTCTGATCATCCTGCCTTCAGAGATCTCTCCCACCAAGAACCATGCTTTGGAAAAAGAATAAAGAACCAAAGGAAAACATCCACAGCTGCAAAGGATTTGTCCCTTAGTGCCACTGCACTATAAAGTGTGGTGTTTTCCTTATAAAACAAACATTAGTTTGCACAGAAAGAGAGACTTATGTAGAAGGAAAACTTTCACAAATGGCTAAGTTCCTTTTGAGGCTTGAGTCAGTTTAAAAGGCAAAGCTTCAAAATTGCCTGTTTTCTTTTTAATTTTAAAAGGTTTACCAACTGATAAACACTTTATTAAAAACCTCTTTTACGAACAAAATGATGTTTAGAGCCTTGAGTCTAAAATGCTG